AACAGTATAGGGGGGCCAGGAGGGAAGAGTACAGGGGAGACAGGAGAGATCCATATGGGGGTGCAACAGGGAACAGTATAGGGAAGCCAGGAGAGAACAGTATAGAGGAGCCAATAGAGCACATTACAAGGCGGCCAGGAGGAAATAGTAGTGGAGGACACAATACTGGGGTCTGTAGCAGTTCCTCATGCAAAGTAGCTCAGGAAAGCTTCTGGATCATAGCTGACGTGCTGATCCCCACCTGCCCTCCTCCTCCCTCCCAAGTGATGTCACACACAGGCACTTGGGGCAGACAAGAGGGGAGAACTGGCTGAGATCGGCACAGGACACTGATGCAAGTTGTTTCCCTCTGCGGCTCTGCAGCTTGACTGTCAGCTATGTGGGGATGCGATCTACTCATCTTCTGCTTGTGATGAACATGCAGATATTGGTGGAACCCTTGGGGACCTCTCATGGAACCCCAGAACACTGCACTAGATGTTGGTCTCACTATTTTACCATTAGAGAGGAGGACAAGAAAAAAACTATTTACTCAGCAGACTGTAGGTAAACATTATGCTGTGATGGTGGAGAGCATTAATAGGATATTTTAAAGATTATAAAGATAAAACTAATTTGTTAAATTGTTACTCTCTCGCCTGTCAGTTAAGGCCTGAGAGGAGGGCAGAAACTACTAATATCTAATACGATCTACTGTATCCCAACAATCACCCAGTTGTAAGAGGTACAAGATGGAACCCACAAGCAAACTAAATTGGAAGCCTTTCTCCTGCAGTTCCCCTAGTGGCAGAAATGCAGATTTCTCATGTCTGAGAACTGCATTGAGAAATACAGTGTTACTTGAATTGTATTCTAGGATTTGCTTGTCTTCCGTTGAGAGAACTTTACATAAAGCCTCAGAAATCTTTCATTAAGGTCTTCATTTTATATATTTTGAATACCATGGCAAGAACCGAGAACATATTCCACACTTTTTTTTATTTTTTATGTTTTCCAATTTATCCGGGAAAAAAAAAAAACAAAACTGGCTTTGGAAAAAAAAAAAAAAAAAAAACCCTTTTTTTCAAAATTTTCTGTTTTGTTTACAGGCCTCCCATCTCTAGTCCCAACACATGTCTAGAGGACATAATGTCCTTGTGCATGAGGCCCAAAGTGATTGTTTTAGTCCTTTCTTACTTTGTAACCATTTCCATAAATTAAACAGATAGCAATATTAAAATTTGTTTAAAATACTTTCAATGTATTTAGTATATACTGTATATTTTAAACAATGATGCAGTTTCACTTAAAGTAGAACTAAATATTAAACTATTTTTCTTTTTATTGTGAAAAGGGTAAGGAAGAGTTATAATCCCTGTAGGTTGTTTTTACTATCTGTGTCCTGTTGGGAAGATTTTCCTTCACTTGTTCCATAGCCAAAACAGGAAGTGAAAGGAAATCCCTGTCAACAGGGTCACCAGAACTAGTGTGCCCACTGAAAGATTACCATTTATTTTTGTTCTGGTGACAACTTAAAATTTGGGATTTTATTTTACTTTCAAAGTAATAACTGTAAACAAGACAAACAGAGAGGGTAAATCTCTCTATTGGGGACACAGACAGCAATACAAATTTGACAGGGGTTCTAATCCTTTTCCAGCCTTTCTAGAACTAAAAAAAAAGCTTTGCATTTACTTATACTTTAAAGTTAACCATAAGATGTACCATAGAAAGACTGTGTAGCACCCTCCTAGATAGGTGCTAGGAGTAGATAGATTTAGTTCTCTGGCTCACTGTATCCAGTGGAGCTGCATTTCTGTTGTTAGGTAAATGTAGCTTGTCTCACTGTGCTCAATGTGGCTACAATCTGGGTTAGGCAAATGTAGTTATAGCTCACTGTAGTCAGTGCAGCTACATGTGATTATTTAGGGTTTGCTCTGTGTCTCACAGGCCTTAGATTTAATTGCTCTCGCTCTGTATTCCCAGAGCCACCTAGATGGAACATGGGCAGCATGAATATTTATACAGTCCCAACCAATCTTTGTGGGCCCTGCACAGGTGGCTGCTGGGAAATCGGTATGAATACCTGAGATCCAGAGTCTCCTTGTCTTGTCCTGGAGAGGAGGAGTCCAGCCTAATGGGCCTGCTTCCATCTGGGCAGTCCTGCTATATGCTTGCTGTTCAAGGAATGGAAGCTAACTGAGGGATTGTCTCTTCTTGGATCTGGTCTGGGATCACTGGTACAGATGTCTGGAGGACATTGGAAGGAGGCATCCATTCATCTGAAGACATTTGTGAGTACAGACAGTGTGAGAGATCCTAGACACTGTGAACTGTTGCTACCCCTCTGGTGCTAAAGAGTCAGCTGAGAGTGCAGGAAAAGAGGATACCAGCTGGTATCCTGAGGAGCTTAATCCATATTGTTCTTTGTTAAAGAGACTCTGCTCAAGTTTATGCCTTTGTCTACTTCAACTAAGCTAAGTCCATTACAGGCCCCTACAAGGACTGTGCTTGTAAGGGTGGTACCTCCTTCATGTTTCCCATCTCATTGGGCACCAAGTATAGATCACATAGGAAGCCTACCCCAGGATGGATTCTTCTGCAGGGCTGTCTTACCAAGTGGGCACTCCTGGGTACTGCCGAGGTGCTCCAGGTGCATATGTGGCCCCATCAGGGCCGGCTCCATTACTCCAATGATCTCCGGGGGGATGCAACAGGCCAGTCATGCTGAGGTCAGGTGCTGACCCTTTTATTTGAATGGGTTGTGTATGGTGAGCGGTAGTGCCCACAAAATGCAATTGCAAAGCATCATGATTGCAGTATGTGTACACCCCCAGCTGCTGCCTTGCCAGCTAAAGTACTCTTCACATGGGCGGGCTGATCTGCCTGCCTTTTTTTCAGGCAGACCCGATCAGATCGTCCATTGTCTTCTATGGAGCGGCGGATGTAAACGGACTTGTGTCCGTTTACACCTGCTTGCATCCGATCCACTGAAAATAGATGGATGGGGGATCTGCTCCCCATCTGTCTAGCGTAAAGATATTGAATTAAAATTCATGGAGGTTCAGTTAGTAAAACGTTCTTCCAGCAGAGGTCCAAGTACAAAAAGTTTGTGCAAGGACTCAGATCCTTCACATCACAGCCCTTCTCTCTTCTTAGCCTAGGTTTACATCTCTGTGGCTGGGGAGCATGCACAAAATTGCATGCGTTCTGACCCACAGAGAAATACACTGCACTTTAGCAGATTGGCACCCCACACATCAGAAGTTATAGCACATTTTGGTGCACACCAAATCACATGGTGTTGCAGCACCATGTAGCTTGAAGTGGTGTGATTTAAAAAAAAAAGTGTCAAGACTTCTTTCGCTTCGTTTCGTGCAGGTAGGGGAGTCCATTAAAATGTATGGACTGCTCTACCTGTAGCGTGTACGCACAAATACACCTGCACAGATCTGAACCGAAGCCTCATATTACAATCCCCTTCTTACATCCCCCCTTCTTACATCCCCCCTTCTTACAGTACCCCCTTCACATCACAGTCCCTCTTCTTCACATCAAAATCCCCCTGTCCACAGCCCCCCTCACATTACTGTTCTTAGACACCTCATTACTGTCCTCAGCCCCGCCTCACATTACAGTCTTCAGCACCCCATGACAGTCCTCACCACCACCAATACAGTCCTCAGACCTCCACAATACAGTCCTCAGCCCCCCATTACTGTTCTCAGGATCCCCAAGTACTGTCCTCAGCACCCCCATTAAAGTAATAAAACCACTCATTACAGTCATCAGACCCCCCCTATTACTGTCCCCAGACACCCCATTACTGTTCTCAGCACCCTCATTACAGTCCCCGGCACCCCCCATTACTATCCCCAGCACCCCCTATTACTGTCCTCAGACCCCCCATTACTGATCTCAGAACCCTCCACTTGCAGTCCTCAGACCCCCCCCATTACAGTCCTTGCACTTCCCCATTATTGTCCCAGCACCCCCATTCCAGTCCTCAGACCTCTCCCCATTACAGTCCTCAGCACCCCCATTACAGTCCCTGGCACCTCCGATTACTTTCCCCAGCACCCCCTATTACTGTCCTCAGACCCCCCCATTACAGTCCTCAGACCTGCCCTGTTACAGTTCTCAACCCCCCCATTACAGACCTCAGACCCCCCCATTACTGTCACAGTACCCCCTTATTGCTTTCCTCGGATCCTACATTACAGCCTGCAGACTCCCCCATTACTGTCCCAGCACCCCCCCCCCCATTACTTTCCTCAGACCCCCAAAAGACCTCCCCGGGAACAATAAACTACAGTGCAAAAAAAAATCCCCTCCAGCAACAATAGATCCCCCATCAGCCAGTATCAACTGACCCTCCAGCACACCCCAGCACCCTTTGCCATTACATACATTCAGTGCTGGAGGTGCCGGAACTTCATTACCCCACCTTCCCGCTGAAAAAAAGCCCTGTGTGTGTATATATATATATATTTATATATACATATTTTTTTCATATATGAAGCACCAAGAATTTTGAATGCACTAAGCAGAATCTTACTTTTTAGAACATATGCCTATTTTATCTCCAGTGGGTAGCCCCGTTGACATCAAAGCTGAAAGGGCTTCTATGGGATACGTGACAAAGTGTAACAGAATGTTCGGGTCGTCAAAAGAGATGGAATTATCGATCACCTCTCCACCCCCCAGCTTGTAACTGAACAGTGAAGGAGCAACCCAAAGACAAAGTTACCATTCTTCTCTTCCATCCTGTCAGCATGTTGCTGATCAGCACACATGATTAGCTCCTAGTGTTTCTCTTCCCTTTCTCACATACACATAGACTACTTCCAACATGGGTCAAAATTCAACCAATTTTTCATCCGAAAATCAGACCTAAGAATAATCGGCCGATTTTCACTCTGTTAGTGGGTCAATGGTACCGGACGATTTTTGTGGTTCCTCCCCTTTTCGGTGATCGGGCATGTTGTAAAATTCGTGAAAAATGACCGATTTTCGACTCAATGATGGTCAAATCGTACGCTCGTTGTTCCGAAAAGAACATGCGCATGAGCCGTGACCTGGAAGGAACAGAAGTTTTGCCTGTTATATGGGGGGAACTTTTGACTTGGTGGGCCAATTTTCGAATCATTGACGGCACCATCGGATTACCGAGTGAACAACGTTTTCGTTTTTCGGATGAAAAAATCGTTCGGAAATCAAACCATGTGTGGCGGGCATAGGGGTCCATGCACACTGGGCTTACAATTGCTGCTTCTACAGGAGTTTTGCATTTTTCCTGTAGAAGCAGCTCAATGTTATCCTATGTGACCATGCACATAGGGATTTTAGCAGTTTAGGGGCAAAAAAAAAAAAATGCTCCTAAACTTTATACAAGTATTTTTTTCTGCCAAAAGAACTGGCATTTTTTAAGCCCAGAGTGCATGGACCCTTATGCTAGCTGTATTTAAAAATATATTCCTTTTTTTTTAATGAAAACAATACAGTATTCATTGGTGTCTTTTCTACTCTGTTCAGAGTTTAGCTTTCAGTTAGGAAATGCATTTTAGGTTCATAACTATACTATAATGTGTAGAGGCCCAGTGACCCTAGAAGCTGACTTCCCCTTTTTTCATTCTTGGCTTCCTTTTAGAAATTTTGATAGACATGATGTTGAACTTAAAGCTAGTAAGTTCGGTTTGCTGCTGGTTTACAGCCACAAAATATCGTAAACATGCTTCTGAAGACATTCCATGTTACTCAATTGTAAACTGAGCCCAAATCTCCATCTGTCCTGTCTCTTAGGACCCAGAGACACGATTGGTGCCACAAGCGTTCATTTAAAGTGACCCTGTTGGAATAGTAACGTTTTAAAATAAATCCATACCTGATAAAGAAGTTTGTAAATAGCTTTTTTTCTCAGAGAATAGGTGCAGGTACTCCCCCCCCCCCCCCCCGCTCTTCCGAGTCACTCCTCAATTCCCCACCTCCCCACCTCTGAGTACTGTCCATTGGTCCTACCCCCTACCCACCTACCAGTACAGCCCCTTTTAGAGAACCAAGTATCATTATTTGGTGCTAAGTGATTTGTCTGGATTTTGTTATTTGATATGTAACAACCAAAAAAAACTGTAAAATAGATCCCCTACAGCCAGCAAAAATAGATCTTCCAAGCAACAATAGACCCCCAGCAGCAATAGATCTTCCCACCAACAATTGATCACCCCAGCAACAATAGACCCCCAAGACACAATAGGCCCTCCCAGCCACAAGAGACCCCCCTGGCAACAATAGACCTCCTGCAACAAAATACCATCCCAGGAACAATAGATCTTCCAGCAGCCAGCATCAATAGAACCTCTAGCAGCCAGTAACAATAGGTCCCTCCCTCAACAGTGAATCCCTCCCAGAAACATAAGAAACCCCAGCAACAATAAATCCCCCGGCAACTAGTATCAATAGACCCTCCAGCACACTCCAGCACCCATTGCCATTACCAGGGGTGGATTGACAGCTTATGGGGCCCCCGGGCAATAGGGGATCATGGGGCCCCTGTATCCTTGCCCAAACTCAAAAAAGCCTATGAAAAAGGTGTAACAATCCCACGATCGCTGCCACCAATATGTCTCGATCGCGGCGTCAGACCCCAGACCTTCTCACCAAACTCGTGACTGAAAGACTAGCCAATCTAAAACCGCGATGTGATGTGTGTAGCAATGCCACACCCAGCTGCACCCTGCACAACGATTTTCCAGCTAACGGACCACAATCGATGCACGGCAGCCTGGGTGATTGTTACTGGGTCAGGTTAATTACGCAATTACCCTTCACACTGCCACCACCTCCTTTTTGTACAGAGAAAGAGGAAACTCGGCGTTATCAGCTATAACGCTATAATGATTGAAATAATCGACTGCACAACACAGTCATAACACAGGCCTGTTATACAGAGGGTTACACAAACAGTAGTGTTCTCTTTAGAGGCAGGGATTCGTGCGTTGCAATACAGAGCTATAGAAACAGTTCAACACTTTCAGAAAGAAAAATTTATTACTAAAAGGTCAAACGGGTACAATAAAAATATTCACAGAAACAAGATGTAACTAAGATATATATAAAATATACAAAGAACCATAGCACAGCAAAGAGATATCAGAGAGAGGTGAAAGGGTTAAGGTACTTGCCAAAGTCCTGGGTTAGCAGATCCAAGTTTCAGAGCAAGAGGGCACGTGTCTCCCCAGGTGGTATTGATGTTAAAAATGGGAGACATCTTCAACTTCTTACACTCTTAGGTCTGACAGCCTATTTTGTAGTCCCCAGCAGGGGGTGTCTCTTAAGTCAAGGCCCAATAACACGTTAGGGAGTGTAGTTATGGGCGGGTGCCTCAATTAGAGCAAAAATCTCCCATAACTCATATTGTGGCCCATAACTGTCCATCTGCACAAGGGACAGTCCACCCACGGGTAGATTATTATGCAGACACGTCTGAGGATTGATTAGATATGAATTATGAAATTATATACTGCAAGGTTCACGAGATCTATGTTTCTGCGTTCCTATGTGTCCGAGACAAGGCGAGTGATCCATCAAACTGTTTGCCTGCTCGTTGGCCATCTGACGATATGTCTGGTTTTTATGTCTCTCATATTTCAAGATATGAGACATAGGGGAAACAGGGATTTTAACAAAGGTTATCTGATTCTGTCACCTACGCTGAGTTAGGTTTATGAGGTCGGAATCTCTTTCAACTCTTGGGAAAGCTTGCCTTATCTCTTCCGGGGTGTGAAATTGCACAGGTTCTTGGGACAGTGAGGCACCTCATGACTCCCTGCTGGGATCTGGCCTGTGACACTTTTAACACATGCACATCTGTCACTGTGCCTCTCAGAGTGAGAGGGGGGAAGAATGAGGGAATAACATGGCTACTCTTAACAAAATGGCAGACTGCGTCAGTCTCTGGTGCGCACGTTTGTGACAAAAGGTACCAGGGGTATCTCATGGGGCCCCCTACTGACCCCGGGCCCTTGGCAGTGCCTAAGTTTCCAAATGGTCAGTCCACCCCTGGCAATTACATACATTCAGTGTTGGATGTGCCGGAACTGCATTCCCCCAAGTGCCTGCTGAAAAAAAGCCCTGCTTTTAAAGCTGAAGTCTATCCACTATCTTTGTTGCAAAATCAGCACTTATCCAGCTTGGACCAATGTAAAGCTCCATGTACACTGCAGCTGGTAAACTCACGTTTAGGAGCTTTTCAGCAGCCCCTGAACTCTCCCTAATGTTTTCCTATGTGTCCATGTACACATCGTCATTTACAGGCAGTTTTTTACAGTCTTTTTTTTGAACGCACCAAATTTGCGTTCAGGAGTAGATTTTATCAGCGTTTCAAACGCCAAACGCTTGTAAACACATGTAAATGCGGCTAAACGCGGCTAACCGCGTTAATAAGCGTTTGCGTTTGGAAAATTTAACTCTTCCATTTCCAGATGCTGTCCAGAGCCTTTTTTCATCATGCAAAGTGTTTTCCTGGTACTCAAATGGACCTGGTACACCATACTTTGACGTTTCGCATGAAAGAAAATATGTTAGACACTGCTGCAATAATTTGTGCACATAAATGAGCTGGAACACATCCAAACACCACAAAAAAAAGACAGCTAATCTCAAAAAATACTGCTCTCTCTGCTTCTGCTCTCTCAATTCCTCTCAAAATAGTTAATTTCTTACTGTTTTTCAGTGCATTCTGGGCATTTGGAAGGTCTCCTGATGTTATCTTTAAAAAACGCTTCTAAAAGCAAACACACATAAACGCGGTATGCAAATGCAGATAAACAGACGTTTTTTAACCTACGTTTTCCAGCAGTCAGTTTCCATCGTTCAGAAGTGTTTTCCAAACGTCCCTAAACATGGAGCCTAAGTATGCTTATCTCAAAGCTGTGGGACCACCATAGAAGGTGATAATCACTGTAGTAGACAGCACTATTAAAGTGATTGACAAAATCTTCCAGGTCCAGTGCCGAATGTCTGTAATTCTGCATAGTGACCACTGGGGGTCACTCACTCGTTTGCTGCTGCCATTCACAGAATGCCTTGCTTTTTTTAATGTATATGAGGCATTCTCCAATTGGACAATGTAAAGAGGCAGGGTGGTGATGTCCCAATCTTCACTTTGTCTGCCCTTCATTTGCCATTTCTCTTCCCAGTGTTCATGATGTTACTTTCATAATTATTACTAAAAATATTTTTTTTTATTCAGCTTGTGGACTGAGCTAAAAAAATTCAGAGGATTCCTCCATTCACGCTAAACTACACCAGTGGACGAATCTCCTGCTACAGTTATTGTATTCTGACATTTAGGAAAACCTACACCAAGCAGTCTACTTACAGAAACAGATGACACAGTAGTTAAGTAATGTTCCTCACTGAGCGGTATACATGTCACACATCCTGGGATAAATAGTTATGCAATAAACAAGAGGATCAGAATTTAAAACCACAATATTCTTATGGGCTTAGTGCAATAGAGAGATGCAGCACTCAATACTTTTGGATGCAGGAAACAAACTTATATAAAAAGTGCAAAAACCTTTAAAATACAAAAGTGATTTAACACCCTAAAAAAATATATATTTTCTATCAGAGATCCCAATTACTAATACTAAAAAATCCTCATAGTATATATAAACAAAAACAGTGAAGATTAAAAAAAAGAGCATTAAAGATGAAAAAAATTAATGAAAAGTCCACTCCCTGTGGCCAAATAAGGCCTCACAGGGCAATGCAAACTATATGATCTCTGTATATATCAACCTGCAGTGCTCCCAGACCATCAGATAGCCAAAAGTGCCAGCTCCTTACTGGATTCCATTGATCTCTAAAGAGAAGAGCTCAAAAGTGCTTCATCTCATAAATAGAGTCACACCACGATCCACTGCCACTTTTCAACCGCGTCTGATCCACTGCCACTTTTCAACCTCGTCTTTCCAGTCACGTCTCAATTTACAGGGATAGACAACTCTCCTCAGGAAACTGGAAAAGAACAACAAGAAACCAGAGGGTAATATTGCTAAAACTCCCAGTTTATTACTAATAAAATATACTTGCAAGCCTCACAGGGCAAACAGAGCATATAACACCATGCAAGGACATCACAGGCCATAAGCCCCATCTGTCAAGTTTCGTCTACAACTGGATGTCTTACATGTTCCCTGAAACAAAGTCACATCAAGAGGAGTCTCTGTCTCTCCTCCCCACCTACCATATCCAACCACCTAGACCAGCCTTTTCAACCCTTTAACCCTAGAGGAAACCGTGAAATAACTTTCAGGTCTTGGAATACCCCTTCCAAAACAATTACTTTGAAGGTCAGTGGGAAAGTCCCTTTACATTGGTAGTCAGTAGAAAGAATGCCCTTACATTGGTAGTCAGTATGAAGTATTCCGCTTAGATTGTGGGTCAGTAGGAAGAATGCCCCTACATTGGTAGTCAGTAGGAAGCATGCCCCTTACATTGGTGGTCAATAGGAAGAATACACATTACATTGGTGGCCAGTGGGAAAAATGATCATCACAATGGTGGTCAGGGTGAAGAATGTTCCCTACATTTGGGGTCAGAGGAAAAATGCCCCTTACAAAAGTGGGTCAGTAGGAAGAATGACCATTACATTGGTGGTCAGTAGGAAGAATGACTATTACATTGGGGTTCAGTGTAAAGAATGTTCCTTACATTGGGGGTCAGTGGGAAGAATGCCCCTTATGTTGGTGGTACGTAGAAAGAATGACCTTTACATTGGAGAAGAATGTTCCTTACATTGGGGTGTCATTGAGAAAAATTACCCTCACATTGTTGGTTAAAAGGAAGCATGCCCCTTACATTGCTGGCCAGTAGGAAAAAATGCCCCTTACAATGGTGGTCAGTATGAAGAATGTCTCCCTTACAGTGGTGGTCAGTATGCCATCCTTACACACAGCTAAAAAAAGATCTTTGGTGTCATGCTGCTGGCTTTGCCAAGTATTTTTGGTCTTAGACCAATGCAGGCACCATTAAATGGAAGGTGAATCAGCTAGGTTTCAAGAAACCCCTAGCAACCTCTGGAGGAACCCTAGAGTTCTACAGAACCCTGGTTGATCAAGGCAGACCTAGATCATAAAAAAATGTGTTCCTTTAAGGAGAAGTATAGCCAAAGCTATTTTAGCTTTACATTTCCAAGGGATCATAGGAGTTCAGTTAGCTGACATCACAGAGCTGGTCTAGGCTCTGCAAAGATCCCGACCATATGGTCAAGATCCACCCAGATGCCTGGACCAGCAGCTGGTTCAGCCTTTCAGGGATCCACTGAGAGCTTGAGCCAACCCCTTCCACCTCTTCTACAGCCCAGCACTCCAGTGAACGCTGGAGGGGCAGAGCAGAGAGATCATTGACAGTCAACGGCTCTCTGCTCAAAAGGGAGAGAACTAAGCGATTGTAGTGTTTGATCACTCAGTTCTCACTGCAGAGCCAGAGAAGGACAGATGCAGCATTAGAATGATGCTGCATCTGACTAGGTGAGTATAAATTTTCTTTTTTAATAATGTCCATAATTCTCTTTTAATTGCACAATGACTTTCATATGTTACTTCTTTCATAGAAAATTAATGTATTAGGTTCAGAAATTAAGTCTGTTATGGAGTGTGGTGTATTTGAAACCCATATCAGGATTATCACCCCATGTGCTGCAGGGCAGTGTATCTAAGTTTAGTGATTGAAAGTATCCCAGAATGCAAGTTAAAGGATTATTGCTAAGGTGTTCTCCAAATGCACGATTAATCATAGTAAATACATTTTTTCCAGTATATCACTAGCTGAGGGCATTTCCACAATAAATGAAGGAGGTTTCATTGATGTGAGCTACATATGACACAGCTAGTAGAATCTCATATTCCCTATCTTGTGTAGGAATTCAGAAACCTTGTAACCTGTCCTAAGATTAATTTCTTATAGAAAAAGTCAATAAATAAAAAAGCAATAACTTGGGAACTATTAATGCCTGCTCACACTATGGTCTTGGTGCATTATATGTGTTGGGGCAATGAGGCACCTTGCTGAGGGATTGCAGCGCAAAGCATGCAACACGCTAATGTAAGTTTCAGTGTGCACTATTTTTGTCAGGGCAACATATGTGCAATATACATTACGCATGGCGCATTGCAACAACACATTTAACGTATAATAAAACAAATTGTAGTGAGCGCTCTTAAATACATACAGCAGCTAGAACACTCCAGGTAACCATAATACCTTCAAAATATATGTATATAAATGTAAACAGTGCAGCGCTCAAAAATGAATTAAAGGCAGTATAAAGTCTATGCGATATCCACGGTGTTGTCTGGATTTGATGAAAAACTTCCAGAATATTTACTGCTTCAAATAATAGCAATGCGCACTCACCAGAAACGCATGGATTATGCGTATGTAGGAATAATCATCCCAGATATCAGATCCATCAAAGACCAAGTGGTGGGCATCCCTCTCACGGTAGGTCATCAAAGACTCCAAATCAGGTCCAGAGTCCCCTTAAGGTTAGTCAGGTAATCCACACTGGTAGTAATGATCCCTCCTTTGGATGGTATAGGCAATCCTTCTCTGTGGGGTAATAGCTCCACAAAGGAGCCCCAAGAAACAGGTGCCAGAGATAGTGTAGTAATGTTCTTTGATAATTTATTGATCAAAAGCAACAACAGGGCAGTATGCACATCACAACATAGATTAGGAAGTGAAAGACAGCATTACTGACCCAATAAAGATGGCCGCCGGGCCTCCTCGTGGCTCCGGCGGTAAGAATGACGTCACGCTCTGCACAGCTCCTCCTTAGGCCTTTCGTGCTACAGGCACATCATCAGAGGGGAGGCTGTACTGTTTACATTTAACGTGCTTATGCCGCATGTTTTGGTAACTTGTGCGACTACAGCAAAATGATGCATGGCCACTGGTGTGGAATGAACCCATTAAAGCCAGGAATACCCCGACAACTAGAAATTACAGAATTGGTCAGCAACAGCAGCCCATATATAAACATTTGTTATCTTAGTACAGTTTTCTTTTTAAAGGGTCCATCCATTCAAGAGTAATAATATCTAGTTACAGGTGGTGCCCTAGTGGGCTGAGGCAGATCATGGACATTTGCATACTCATCTAAGTTACAAAAGCA